TTTTTTGTTTTTTTTACCTATTAGGTCCTGCTGAGTGAAATAGAGAAAAAAATAAATATTGATATTCATAGAATATTATATGAATGTCAGTCGCATCGTACATTAATTATGCAGTAATTAAAATCATGCAGTTAGTTCAGAAAAACATATATTGTGTGAACAATTACAGATGAGGCTAAGAAACTCTTATGTTCAACGAATTTGGACAGGATTGTGTAGATCCTATATAGCTATTTACATATTTATATATCTGAATTCTATAAAAGTAAATATCGTTAATATTAATTCTCCGCTGATGAACGCCGGGTCACTCGAGATCCGATGATAAACTTTTTGTTTACATGTGAGTAGAGATAGAGCAATAATTTATTTCTCCTTTTTTTGAATTCTTAAATAAATAATATATTTATTTATTTATTTATTTAAGAATAGAAATGTGAGAAAATAATTGCGAATGCACTGTTGCTCTATTTTTATTCATGTAAAACAAATTTTCGGTTATTGACTTTTTATATATATATATGTACACACACACACACACACACACACACACACACACACACACACACACACACACACGCTTAAATATATAATATAAAAAAATTGTATTTAGTCTCATGCAAAACAAAATTTACTTTTGGATTACATTTTACTTGGAATCGCCGCACGCGCACTTACCGAAGCGCTTGCTGTCGGAAGATTGATCTGTATAATCAACATAGTTGTACAGAATTAGAAAATTATTAAAATATAGTAATATAATTATTAAAATATTTAATTTTATTATATTTATGCATACATTTCTGACACATAATAGGAATGCACATCAACGAGGAAAGAACATCTTAATAAATCTATAATTTTGAAGACAAATGATTTAAGGACTTCATACAATTTACATATGATCGATGTATATTTAAAAGTTTGTACTCTCGTAAAAATGAAAAAAATATTATTTGTTGTCTTTTCATCAAGCGCTACAGGCTTAGCACAATTCTTGAAATTTTTTATCGATATAAATTTAATTTCGTATTACACAAAAAGAGAAAGAGAAAGAAGAAAAATGTTTCTAAACTGAAAGAATTTCAAAAAGAGTTTCTCATGAAAAAATAAATAAAAAATGTAAAATAAAGTCTTGTAAACGATTTTGCCTTTCAAAAATAATTTCAATGTAAACAAGATTAATGTTTACTTTTGTAAGCTTGATAAATAATTTTCCATTATAGACTTGTATCCCATAAACACCAAATGTCACGTCTGAACTATCGAAATATATGTAAAGAGATATAATATTCTATTAAAGAGATAAAGTGATTTTTATGTTTTTTATATAACTTCTTTGACAATTTATTTTAAATTATTTTATTAAATGCTTTCCTACATTTTTACTTTGATATTTTTTCATGAACAATTATTCATATATGACACCTTGTATATACTTGCAGACATGCATGGCTTTATAATTGTTGATAATTGTTTCTAATATATTTGTATCGATATACAACAGAAGTAAAATATCCTATTTTTAAGTAGATAACACCGAATGAAAATTTTTACGCTTCTTAAAAATATTTGTGTGTCTAAAAGAACATATAATCTTAATTTTAACGTTGCTAGTTTATTTTTTCTTTATCTTATTTTTTAATAGAATTATTCATTTTGCACAACTTTTTATAGATCGATATATGCATTATTTGTATAACATAGCACAAATTGAAGATGCATGAATTCTTGTTATAACGCATGGTCAAGTTATGTTCTATTTTTATAGAAAGTCGTACATAGTTTAGCGGTTTTGTTTATGTTATTATTGTATTATAGCGGAACCTGAATCCTGAGGCTGTCGTGACAAATCAACCGCGAGGTTTTGGCAAGGTAAGTTTACATTATGCTTGAGATTTCAATTCTTTTTCCTTTCTTTTTGCTATGATTATTCGTAAATATTGCTTTCTATTTTTGTTACTGTTGGAATATATTTGAACAATTTTGCATAGATTCTACGCAAGGCACAATAGTAGTTTTTCCTCAATCTATTTTGTTATTTTATTTGCGCGCACTTACTACTTTTTTATGAGGAAATATGAATTTATG